CGCGGGGGGGGGGGTGTGCAGGAGGCCAGGGGCATCCTGGTAGAGCTGCCAGGCTGGAGAAAAGCCCTGGGAGGGGTGGCCCTGCCCACCCGGGGCCCTGCCAGCAGAGGGGAACTCAGAAAGGGGCCCCCAGGCGGGTGTTTCAGCGACAGAAGGCGAGTCTGCCAGGCCCCCCCCGGGACAACTCCAGCCTGGGCAGCTTATGGGCTGCGAGGCCACAGCCCCGAGCGGAACGCATCTCGCTGCAGGAATCCAGGCCGGCACTGGGGCGATCAAGGCCTCAAGTCTGCACCCGCCCCCCGATGCAGGGGGGTGTCCTGCCCCACGGAGCAGCTGTGCCACCCCCCAGCGAGTCGGTCCAGGTCCAGGAGGTGCAGGCCAGGCTGAGGAATCCGATGCGCGGTCCCGAGAGGTTTGTTTGAGTGGAGCACAAGGCACGAGGAGCTGCGAGAGCGCGCAGCCTGGGCCAGGGAGCCCAGCACAGTCCGTCCGGTCGTGGGGTGCCGCGGAGCGCACCCCACCCCACCCTAGGACATCTTCCAGATGGTGAGGGAGGCGGTGAGGACTCCGGCGGCGAAGATGGTGATGGTCTGCCAGGTGGGCGTGCCGAAGTAGGAAAGGAGGCCGTCCTAGGGGGTGGGGGGAGCAAAGGGACTTGCTGAACTGTTGCATGCATGAGACGGACGTGCGGCTGGCTCTAGCACCACACAACCCGTTTGGGGGTGGCTGGGGGCAGCAGAGTCTAGTAGGTTTGGAATCGGGCTGGGAGCCAGGACTCCTGGGTTCTCTCCCTGGCTCTGGGAGGGGAGCGGGAGCTAGTGGTTAGAGCCGGGGGGGGCTGGGAACCAGGACTCCAGGGTGCTGTCCCCAGCTTTGTGAAGCCACAGGGCTGTGTGGGGGCAGGGCAGGAGTCTCAAGGCCGGGGGTTCACAGTGGTGGGGCAGGGGAGAAGTAGCGCCTGGGTTGGAAGACACACTTGCATGCACCCTGGGAAGCATCAGAGGGAGGGAAGGGCACCGGCCGGACTCACCCATCCTCCTTGGGCCTGGATCCAGGCCAGCACGTGGTCCCGCAGGTACTCCAACGTCCAGCCCACAATGGTTCGCACCAGCTCCGGGACTTTGGTGCAGAGAGCCTAGGGGGAGATGGGGGGGGGGATCAGGGCGGCAGGGGAAATAATGGGGCTATATGGGTGCTAGGGCAGGGGTCTCAAGGCTGAGGGAGGGTTTCTTGGGGTGGAGCAGGGGGTCTCACAGCTGGGGGCAGAGAAGGAGTTTGATGGCTGGGGG